CTTTTGTGTTCTTCTGTGCTACCTCTGTACAAATTAATTTTAATACTGATTTCATTTTAGTAACTTATTCTTCTTATTCTACTTGTTCTTATTCTATGGTTTTATCTAGAATTTTTAAAAAGCTTATAATATATATATTTTTTTTACAAAAGATTACATACTTTTAATAAAGATAGAAAAATGGCATTACAAAAGGTAAAAACAAAATTCTACTGTAAATCACTTTAAGGAGTCAAGTATCGCCTTGTAATGGGAAGGCAGATCTGTGCTATTGACCAGAAGGTGCTCCTGATGTTTGTTTGTTTTTGACTGTGCTCCTGCTTTTTTGATTTAGATGCTCCTGACGGTACATCACAACTAGGCCTATGCACATTACTGTTATTGCACATGCATGACTGCCTGTATATCCTCCTGAGAACCCGAAAAAAGAAGAAAAAAAAAGAAAAGCTTTGTTGAGACTATAAATTTAATATATATTGCTTTATGCAATATGAGTGTAAAAAAAATCCAGAAACTGATTTTCCCAATAAACACATTGTATCTATACACTGTGTCTTATTTGCATATTAATGTAGTGTTGGGACAGCATGTTGAAAAAAGAAGTGTAATAATGGGAGTAATAATTAGTCAGATTTTAATAATAATATCTTATATTTCATAGGAAATATTCACATTGAAATAGTATTTATTTTCCTATTAATTTCTTGTGTCTCCCAAAAAGTGTAATAATCATGTTTTTGTCCTGGTTTCCTCTAAAAGTAAACATGTATGAAATAATATTAATATGTTTATTCATTTACAAAGTATGGTTCAGTACTGCTACTGCTTTTTTAAAAATAGTAAAGCTCTGTTTTAGTTTTCGTTTACCATTTTAAAAACTATCGGTTGATTAATCGGTATTGGCCAGTGTGGTCCAAGCTAGCTATCGGTATCGGTAAAATCCACTATCGGTCGACCTCTATGCTCAACAGAACCCAGCGTTACAATATGCCATAATTCCAGCCAATCAGAGATGAGGCTACTAAATTCTGATTGGCTGCCTTGATAACCAATCACAACATTCCTTGCATTGCTGATTAAAGCGGAAGAGGGAAAATACAGTGCATGCATAATTATGTAAGTTGATATCATGATTTTATTTTTTTTCCAAGCACATTTTACCAATTCCAAACAACATCAATCTTAATAACTACTATTAATCTTGTATTTAATCACTTATAACCTATATATTATAGTTCATGAAGGCTGGAAATGAAAAACGCCTTATATTCAGGTGTGCATAATTATTAAGCAGGTTATCTTCTACAGATAAAATCTCGAGATGGACTAAAAATGAACTCCCAAAACTTACTGCCAGATTCTGGAAGATAAATTCTTCAAACAGTGGTACGCTGGTCCTTCAAGAGCCACTCACAACTTTTCTGTCTATAAAGCCTTATATATATATATATATATATATATATATGAATTTATTTAATACACGAGTTCCACAATTTGAGTTGAATTACTGAAATAAATAAACTTTTCCACGACATTCTAATTTACTGAGATGCACCTGTATATTTTGAAAGCACTGAATCATTGCATTGAATCATTGAAAGCATTGCTATAGAAATCGCGATTCATTCGATTCTTAGCATTTTAAATCGATTACCATCCAAAATCGTTGAATCACAATTCAAAAATCCATGTTTTAAGATCGATGCATATGCATCGTCAGGGTTTGTAATCGATGCATCGAGAAAACAAGTGAATCGTTACACCCCTACTTTAAAGTGAATGCAGTGCATAGAGCACATTGCATTTTCATAGCGGAGCCACTCGAAGTCTTTCAACCATTCTCTCCAAAAACCGATCTTTTCGGCTGGTGGATCAACATTCACCACATGATCGCTATCACCAGCACCATTATTTGTAACTTCAGGTGGTTTACAAAAGAAAACCTTTACAGTAATTGTCGCTCTTCTTCAGCCCTTTGCATTTCCCACGGTAGTTAGCTAGCTGTCACCTGACAGCGGAAAGCAGTGACTGAGTGACTGACTAACCTAATACTAACCAATCTAAAATCTGCATTTAATTTAAGAATGTAAAGATGAAGTTATGTAACGTTTGATAGAACGGCACATAACTGTGAACGTTTTTAGAGAAATGAAAACAGGTCGCACTACAACAATTATATGCACTCACACAAATGCTCCCAAATATATTTTAAGGTTGCACAGACTAAATTATGGGAGCATATGCGACCAAAATGGTTGCACAGACTAAATTATGGGAGCATATGCGACCAAAATGGTCGCAATTTCAAGCCTTGGGACACACCTGAGAACTGAGACAGATGGTGGAAGCAGCAGAGGCGGCAGCAGCAGCACAACCACAAGCCTCGATACCGAGGACTCTTGCGACATGCGCTCTGTCCAAATACCCACACTTGCGGTCTTGGCCACTTGAGAGCATGTGCACAAGACTGTCTCAGGTCTTAAAAAGCCAAAGCGCAGCCCTTAACGCACCATAAATCCACACTCCACGCTCCAGAGTGGTATTCGAGGCTTAGTGTATCCCATCATGAATCATGTTCTGGAAATAAATTGAGATCTCGTGAGAGGTCACAGAAACCTTTCCTATGTACGTTAAATAATAATTAGATATTATAATTTGGTAGTAAAACAAAGTGTTGCACATTTTATTGGTGCAAAGATTAGTAGATTTATTTTACATTTGCATCACTTATTTAGAAGCACCACAAATTAAATCATGTCATTTGTTATAGGGACTACTGAACAGACATTTAAGATTATTTTAAAATGTAAAGTATTGTTTACAAAATCTAAATGAATGTTTATTTTACAGATTTATTTTTTGTAAAGTAAATTTTTTTCATATTATAGGAATATAGGCCTATTTCATTTCAGCTATGAATGCGATTTTATCGTCTTTAAATTAAATAGTGTGATATCATATATATTGGTTTTATATACACCCTGCTCTCCAAGATATCTGCATTGGCCATCAAAAATAATTTCAGTGTAAGACTAAGGCCCAATCCCAATTCTTAGCCCTTCCCCTTTCCCCTACCCCTACCCCTCTGTTTCGTGCGTTCACGTGAAGGGGTAGGGGTGTCTCGATTCTCTTTTGGTTGGAAGGGTAGGGGGAGGGGAAGGGCTAGATAGCCCTTCAAACGAAGATTTTTCGGGACCACACTTCAAATGAAGGGATATCAATTATCTCAGCATAAACCGGCTTCAGGGGCAACATGGCTGCCCGAGAGAACAAAAATACACAAATGCAAGCATTTTTGGCATTAACAAAGATTTTAACGAAAAGTAATCATTTGTTTTATGTTACATTCAATCGTGAGTTCATATTTACGGTCATGTTACTTGCAAAAAAATCGTTAATATTTGCTAACTAACGTCATATCATTATAGACTGCACGATAGTGCCACAACATATTTTCATGTCTGATCAGGGCGATAACCACCGTAGACATTGAGGGGGGCTAGTCCCCCCAATAATTAGAAATCGCTAAACCCTTTTCTCAAATATTGCCAATTCGAGAGCGAGAGAGATTAAAGTTGCGTGTATGCGCGTTTCTCTTTTTAGAGTGAGTTTACTTAAAAAAACTGCGATTTTTATCCTCTCGTTGCTGGAAAATATAATGTATCGATTCCGTATTTAAACTGTTATTAATAAAAGTCGTGGGGCAGCGTTGACAAGTTTCTGTTCTCCTGGATGTGTGAGCTGCGCGATCTCCGATGTGTGTGTGTGTGTGTCAGTAAGCAGCGCATTAAGCCCCGTTCATACCAAGAACGAGAACTATAAAGATAACGATATTAGCGTCCACACCAGCGAACGATATCGTCAGTTTATTCTAAGCGCACATGCGTCTGCCGCTTTAAATTCTTGCGCTCGTTACAGCAGAATGGATTCTGATTGGCTGTCAGTGTTTTATCGTTCATCAGCTGGGAAAAAATCGTTTTGAAAGTGATCACACCGATATCGTTCCTCTGTATCGTTATCGTTGTGGTGTGAACTATGCTATTCTTTAATATTGAGAACGATTTTTTATAACTATATCTTTATCGTTATCTTTATAAAATAGAATTGGGCCTAATATTACACATTTGACCCGATCACTTTCATTGTAACGCCTCAACCCACAATTTTGCTTTTTCTTAAAAGAAAAGCATGTAGGTTACTCTGAGCTGAGCTTAACCAGTGTAGGTTAAGCTCAGCGGCAAAGCTGAGCTTAACCTACACTGAACCAGAACTATTCCTTTAAACAATTAACAGTTTTCCTTTAAAGGCTTCTTTTTTTTTTTATCCAAGTCGTCACAAATTCGTCCGATTAAACGGATATCCGCCCAATCTGGCACCCCCGCAGTTGCGTTATGTAGTGAGTCAACACTGGATGGAAATATAGGGAAACTGTACTAGGACATAAAAACACATGGATGGAAATGACATTATTATGGTATGCAAGCGATCGATATGTTGTCATTTAATAATGTATAGATTACTGCAATGATATAGACGCGTTTTCTTCAGGCTATTGCCACACCGTGGTGGTGGAGCTTGTGTTGCAGTTTTTGGGATGTTTCTCCCCTACAAAATGACATGCTAAATTACGGTTTTTACACTGTATCAAAACAGAAAATATTGAAACCGAAAACGTAAACTCTAAAAGAGTTATAAACGACCTTTGCTGCTGCAAGCACACAAACAAATGTGTCAAAGGTAACATTTCGTCACCAGCATTAGCCCATGAGCTGCACTTAAGGTTATTCATTATTACAGGTATTTCTACGACAATCTGATAGCTAGATCAGCTCTCTTCAATCTGCATTTCGTATTATCAATCGTAATTTTCTAAAGGTAAGTTACAGTTCGCAGTTTTAAACGCTTCCGGCTCGTGTCTCATGCTAAATTGTTGGTTTCATTCGGATTTTTTTTCTGTGGTAACATGTTGTGAAGTGGAGATAATGCTGCGACTTACATCTTTTTCGTTGTCTTTCCAGAAATTTCTGTCCCGACGCTGTTTGGATCAGTCTAATATCTGAAACAAGAAACACCTGGGGTCTAATTTTATCGGACTATATCATGTTGGCACCTGTTAGGTAACGTTACAGACATTTTTTCCCCACACATGTCCCTTACAAAAAGTTAACAAAGACTATAGTTTTATTAAAAGTAAAAAAAAATGTTTTATTATTTACAAAGAAAGACAAACAGTGGTGGTTAATACCAGGTTAGCGCATAATTAATATCCTATAGCATTGCGGCGTGAAGAAAATAAGCCTACCAGGTTGTAGTTCATTTCACAAACGCTTATCGTATCATCGTTTATCGGCCCTTAAAATGTTAATCATTTACTCACCTTACCATTGTCCCAAAGCCCATTTTTGTCTTTCTTGGAAAATTCTGAATGTCAATGTTGACTGAATGTTATAACTTACTTCAAAAAAGGACGGGGAGCACCACAGAAACATCATAAATGTGGTCGACATGACTCTTGCCTTGTTTTCCAAGTCGTCGGAAGCCACATAACAGTTGTTTGAAGAACAACTCCAAATTCTCGAAATAAATGTCGTTATTGACTGAAAATTCCAACATCCAGCTTAACTCTTTGTGGCGCTCTTCTGAGGGATACAGCGATCATAACCGTTTGTGAGTCGGATCTTTTCAATGAATCAAATCACAACTGATTTGAATAATTCGGTCAAATTGGTTCATCCTTTGGTTAAATTACCAATAAATACTAACCAAAACCAGTGTTGGGGAAAGTTACTTTTAAAAGTAATGCATTCCGATATTGAGTTACTCCATAAAAAAGTAACTAATTACGTTACTTAGTTACTTTTTATGGAAAGTAATGCGTTACGTTACTTTTGCGCTACTTTTTAAATCTGGACAGGGCTTGCTTGTTTGTTTTTAAAATAAAAAAGTTCTATTTTTGGCAAATATAAAAGCCCTTTCACACCAAAGGTGAAATGAATAAGCCTCAGGTTGAAGGGAAAGTACATTTACGTCCGTGCAGTAGAATGCAGAAGAAGACATTTCAACACACTTCAGCAATAAACAAAGACAAATGTTCGTCTAGAGTAATTTGTGCTTATTAGTGGTTGAACTGGATCATCGAAGGTCAGAAGCAAAGACATTGGTTAATAGAATGAGATTAAATACATAAAGGATATTTGTGTTCTTTAACATTTAATTATTGCAGGTTTGCGAACGCCCCTTTCTGCTGATTGGTCAGCCGAAGATCAAACCGTGCCGTCATCAGTTCTTCTGCAGCAGAATAATAGTCCTCCACTGCTGCAGTTGTATGGATTCTTAACGCATTTATTGCAACTACATTTAATCTTTTTTTCATCAAACAAACAGTCAAATGAATAGCTCGACAAAACTCGTACCGGGGCAGAGTCTAGACAGAGCTTTCTTCTGTGTAGATGTAAATTCTATTCTTTGCATCAGCTGGGCATCTTTCTGGTGCATGCCGCAAACATGAACCACAGGGAATACTCGTCTTTTAAAATGCTTAATTTATTTTATAATACATTAATTGCATCATATAAG